TCGTGATATTATGTATTACGCAAATATCGACTTTGTTCGACTATCCATTCCAAAACAAGCTCGAAAAGTACTTACCCTTTTATGTAATAGAACATTTACTAAAACCCCAAAAATTGAAAAGTATCAACAATTCGTCTGAGTATCGGAATTCGCCTAAAATTCCAAAAATGTTTGTCTTCATGAACTATCATCCCGCGATTACCTAGTCGGAATCTTAAGACCACATATGTATAGTGGAAGAGCTTTAGCTGCAACGTGAGACCCGCGATGTTCTGGCAAATTTATGTTTTGGATAGTATAACAGGTTCAACACCTACTTNTCGTGATATTATGTATTACGCAAATATCGACTTTGTTCGACTATCCATTCCAAAACAAGCTCGAAAAGTACTTACCCTTTTAAATAATAGAACATTTACTAAAACCCCAAAAATTTAAAAGTATCAACAATTCGTCTGAGTATCGGAATTCGCCTAACATTCCAAAAATGTTTGTCTTCATGAACTATCATCCCGCGATTACCTAGTCGGAATCTTAAGACCACATATAGTGGAAGAGCTTTAGCTGCAACGTGTGACCCGCGATGTTCTGGCAAATTTATGTTTTGGATAGTATAACAGGTTCAACACCTACTTATCCAGAATGGACTAAGGCATGTTAGTACAAACATACACAAATGCGGAAGAGTGAATAAAATAAATTTAAAATCCCCCTAGAAGCTATTTTAGTATTTCTTTTCACTTATAAGCATACATACAACGCTGGGGATCAAGCCAGTGCCGAAATCCATTGCTTGTCTCTTGGTCAACTGAAAGAAGAAATTAAATTTATTTTAGAACTTTGAAATATCCTCAACAATTTTGTTTATAAATATTTTAATCTTTGAAGTAATTTAATTGCATTAGCTTTTCTAATAAATTTCCTCCTTCTCTCCTCCACTCACCACACCACACACCACACTGCCTACATAGTATTCACTTAAAAACGGCAAATGCTTTACAAAATACGCCACAACGTGATATGTTGCTGCTGAGCACCACCTGACGACAGGCCAACCTGGCGACTGCAACCGCATCTTCGTCCTCAAGCACATCTATAATAACAGCAGCGACTACTGGTTTNATTTTCACTTATAAGCATACATACAACGCTGGGGATCAAGCCAGTGCCGAAATCCATTGCTTGTCTCTTGGTCAACTGAAAGAAGAAATCAATTTTATTTTAGAACTTTGAAATATCCTCAATAATTTTGTTTATAAATATTTTATTCTTTGAAGTAATTTAATTGCATTAGCTTTTCTAATACATTTCCTCCTTCTCTCCTCCACTCACCACACCACACACCACACTGCCTACATAGCATTCACTTAAAAACGGCAAATGCTTTACAAAATACGCCACAACGTGATATGCTGCTGCTGAGCACCACCTGACGACAGGCCAACCTGGCGACTGCAACAGCATCTTCGTCCTCAAGCACATCTATAATAACAGCAGCGACTACTGGTTTAGCCGGTACAGTGACTTCCACATCGTCGACCACGGCAACGCCAACAAAACACTTTACGCCAACACCCACACCAACGCCAACACCAACGCGTCAACCAATTGGAATACACGCGGCAGCGGCGACGCCATTGACGCCGACGCCAACAGCCACAGCCACAGCCACATCGCCTTTACGACGTACCGGTGTTGCGGGTGCTATTGCTGCACTACCAATTGGATAGCAGCAACAGCAACACTATCATCATCAAGTAACACAAAAATTAGCCGGAATTCGTTCCCCGAATGGCACAATTTTGGAGGAAGAGTGTATCGTGCAAGAGCATTTCAGTCAGTAATTTGTAAACTATATATATGTACACGCCGAAATAGAATTAGCAATTGCAAGTGCTTTCTGTCCACGCAAAAAAGGATGTACATATAAGGTTGGAAACTAAGGTTTAAGTAATTGTTTTTCTTTCACATTTTTTTCTAGTGCAAAAAATTGTTGTGCCCTTTCTAGGATTCTCTATTTTGTTCTTGTTATACAAGAGCCTTCGTTCAGATTATGCATCAGACTTTTGCATTGTTTGTGAAATGCCATTTTATATATTTTTTACAAATATATAAAATCAAATACATATACATATGTATTTAACTATTTGTGTTTGTAAAATACTGTAATTTTCATACAAATACATAACTACGACTTTGGGCCTTTGACTTGTTGATTTCTGACTTCTATCAGCATTTACTAAAAAAACATAAGCTGCTACAATTTTTTTCTACGTGCTTACAGGAGCCTTCACTGTATACTTTAGTATATGTTTGATATATGTAACTATTGCAAAAAAAAACAACATAAAAGCACCGAAGTAGGGGAGATTCCTATTTTCGCATCACTCAGATAGCATTTTAAAATACAAATATTAGTATATTCTAATAAATCCGGTCTTGTTTCTATGTTATCAACAATTTTATTTTAGCTTGAAGCCAGTTTTGATTATTAATTAATTTTTTAATAAAAAACCAACAAATGACTTTGATACTATATTTTCTGAATGCTGATTAAAATATATTTTAGTCCACCAGACAATTTGAGTGCAAATCTGCGTTAGAATTCCAAATTTGGACTTTCGAAACCGGCTGAAATAGGCTAGAATCGAAGAGCCAACTTTTAATATTTGATATCAAATAATTTTGCGTTTGATCATAATAGAAGACAGTCCCACAGTCGCGATTACGTAACCGGAACAACCCAGATTCATATCTGACCAAGGACTGCCAATTTAGCATCATTCCCCAAAAATTGCGGGAGATTTGTACTCTGTTACAACAACGACAGTTCCATTTTATAAAATGTTTGGTTTTGCAAACCAGATTAGGAAATTCTAACGGATTTTTGCTAGCTGATTCTAAATATGAAGTAGAAATACAAAAGTTATGGACACATGTTTTGGAAACATTTGAAATTCTGCCTTTAGTTTAGGATTCAGCTACTTAAAAAGGCTTTACGAATTTTAACTCATCATTTTAATTTTGAAACGAAAAACGTACTATACACACATGCCTACATACATAATAACTAGGTGCTCAATTTGTCACAAGTTTAAGAATAGGCTCAAGCTCATATATTTATGTATATAAATAGTTATAAATCTTATTTTTAGGCCAAGTGTCGATTTCTTTTTGAATTTAAGTTAATGATATGCTTAAGAACGTCTGCTATATCAACTTGGAGTTGAGTTAGCTTCGAAATATTATTCTCTGTACAATCAGCTGGGAGTGAAGTTTTAGTTGCATTCTCAATTAAACTCAAATTGTAGACTTCGAGACGGTCAAAATTGTTTTTCACATACATATGTATGTACATAATTATGTAAGTACATATCGTACCTTTGTTGCAGGAGTGTCATAATCCAATAAATCAAAAACTCAAGAAAAATCGCTTTAAAGCTTACACTTTGCATACGCTATTAAAGTAAAAATGAAGACACATTTTCTTACAATGAGCTATAATTACAAGTAATTTTTAAGCAAAAAACTAAACCGACTTCAATTCTCATATAAAAATTTAAGATTATCGTTAATTTCTTCATGATCCAGTAATCGGATATAAACCAAATTAGTATGGTAACCTGTGAGGTAACACCTTTCCATAAAAAGAAAAAGAATTAGGAAATCGGTTAATGTAGTCCAAAGTTGTGCGGTAACATACATACATAAAAAAAAGAAAGCAAAAAATATTCCGAACTGTTAACCTTCTCCTTTTTGTGACGTCGGTTAAAAAGCTTTCAAATCCAGATTTTTTCGTTTCCTAACGGCGACGCCGTGGCCAGAAAGTGAGCAGAATTCTACCAGCTGGAGAAGCAATTCAATTTGAATTTTGAGATATTATTACATAAGTATACAAATATGTACATATATGTATTTATATATACTATATATGTATGTATGTATATACACGTTTTGACCGTTAATGGAAAGTTTCTTCTTGCTCGAGAATTTTAAAGCTTTTTCATTTTAAAGTCGTTTCTCTAATATTTCTACCGCTGTTTCCCCTAACTACATATCGTCACCCTTATGCCAGAAGCATGAATGCGCAAATTTATCAGTTTTGAGCTATTGGGTTGACTTGACCAACCTTTGGATGTTCTATGTTATACCAAAACCCGGAATACCATGCGTACACGGAAACCATATATTTTACAATTTCAATTACATAGAGTTAAATCTCGTAAAAAAAAACTTTCAAACTTGATTTCCCAAAATTTTCATTTTTACACATTCATGCTTCTGGCATACGGGCGACGATATGCTTGAACATAGCTGCGGATTTTCAATATACATTTAAATTTTCCTGTAACATTTAAATTTGTACAAATACTTCCATTCCTTACCAGTTTTCTTTCCAATAAAATATGTATGTATAATAATAATAATAATAGATTGGCGCTTACACATACGTTAGTGTTTGGCCGAGCTTCTACTCCGATGTACAGTATATCTAACATAAAAATTCATACATAACAGATGCTTTCGTAAGTACATATCGTCACCTGAAATGCAAAAAGACGTAACAACGTCGTAATTGAAATGGAAAAAGTTATGACTAATATTATATTTTTTTTTTTCATAAAATGATGTGGGGAGTTGTAATTCGATGAAATCCATCATATACATAAATCAAAAAGTTAATTTTGAATTTTTTATTAATTATGACTTTTTGCATTTCAACGATGATGTTTGGTTACGTCTTTTTGCATTTTAGGTGACGATATATATATATANTATTTCAACGATGATGTTTGGTTACGTCTTTTTGCATTTCAGGTGACGATATATATATATATGTAGTTTTAATTTAAAAATTTTACAGTTAATGCCGTTTTTTCAAGTAGGTTTTAAAATTTATCTGCCCTCCAAACACCTTTTTCAGAACAAAATTTGTGTTTAAAGGGCAGATAAAATTTTAAACCTATTTGAGAAAACGGCCCTTAGAGTCAGGAAAGGTACTAAAGTTTTTTTACATATTTTTTTTTTTATGTAAAAAGAATGTCAATAACGAATAGAAAAACAAAATGTTGATTATCCATATAGACAAGTTAAAAGTTTGTAATAATTACAAAATTTCCTACTGGATCATAAATTTAAATGCGTAGCAAAACATGGACAGTTCATTATGAAAATTGCAAAACACGAAATGTTTACGATGTGTCTTGCATTTGAAAATAACAAGAAATTAATTACGAAATGCAATTAAAAATAAAAATTAACGATGTTATGCGAGTTTAAAACATTTACAGTTTACAGTTAAAAACAAAAATATGCTATATGTAAATTATTAATAAAAAAATAAATAAAAGCAAATAACGCGCTGCAAGTGACACTAATTATTAACAAAAACGTTAATGTATAACGTCCATTTATGAAACGCAAAAAATATTTAATAAAAAATGAGAAAAAAAACAATGTGTAAAAAGCAAATATTAGTAGTAACGCATCAAAAATATTTAAGTATGCTAAACCATAATTTCTTTTCAAATTCATATTTTTCTGATGCACTGCACGAAGTAGCAGAACGCAAGTGCGAACACTTCTTTTAGATTTGATTTTCGTATATTTTTTAAATACATATATTTTAACTACGTATTTATCTTCAGTAACGTAAGTGTGCTAAATTTATGCTTATCGCGTAAATCAGTTGGTATACATATTTACAACAAAACATAAACAAATTTAAACCAAAGTGATACTCGCTAATGTTTATTTTATTTTTTTTGAAAACCTTTTACCAAATTTTAAGAATAAAAACAAAAAACCCTTTTTGTATAACAAAAACTGCTGCACTCTGTATGCATATACATACATACATAAATATATTATAGCGTTTAGTTCAAATACATTTAAAATATATTATTTCCAAAGCGTCATTTGCTATAATACAAAAATTAACAACTTTTCTTTAAAGTACCTATAACTTAACAGTCACATTGAAGCCAGCATATTCGGAATCATACACAACGCACTTCGTTTATGACGCTTTTTTTGGTCTGCCTGACTCGATAATCTTGCCCAAATCTTTTAATGAGACTTCGCCGGTACCTCTCTCCAAAGGTTTGGGCTGATTAGGGCTTGGCTTCCAGCCGACAAAATATATTATTTGAAAGGTGGCCGTAACTCCGTCATCCTTAAAAGTAAAATATTTTTGTACAATTATTTTTTGTGAATAATGTCGATTTAAACTTTACCTTAGCATATAACTCCTTATAAATAGCGCTTGCTGCTAGCAAAGTTTCGCGACTTATATGCACTGGTCTATTGAATGCTGCATTGTTTTCAGCCATACCCTTTAAATCCCACATAAGCTCAAACATGCTTGGAAACCCGACGACAATTTCATCAGTATCAATGGTTAGCATAGTGAAACCGGCGCGATTCAATAAAGCGCCTACGTCCCTTATCTGTGGAAATATTTCAAACAACCATTTAGTTATGCTATGCCCTCTTTTATGAAAATTACCTGCGTAAAGGGCGAAATATGCGGCGCCAGTCCACCTTTGCGTTCGATTTCGGCCAATTGCAGCGATGAGCGTAGTTCATATAACGTATCACCGCCGAACAGTGATGCTATGAACACTCCATCCGGTTGTAAGCTACGTATAATTTTTGAAAAACAGCCTGGCAAGTCGTTAACCCAATGCAAACTCAAACTGGATATGACTAAATCCAGCGAGTTTTCAGGAAACTGAAATTTAAATGTTTTTAAATAACTTAACGTGAAAATACGTAATGACTCAGTGGCACATTACATCTAATTTCTCCTCATCCACCTCGAGCTTGGTCATTTTCAGACCTGGCGTACCCTGTGCTTGCTCCAGCATAGTGGGGCTTGTATCGCACAGCGTTAAGTGCTGCACACTTTCCGCCATGATATGCTTCGAGAGGAAACCGCGACTGCAACCAATGTCTGCGGCATTTGTGAATTCGCGCTTTATGTCGATAATGCGATCGGCCAAACGGAAGCCCACCTCCTCCTTCAAATAGTCATAAAGCTCCACATTCGCGCTGTGAAAGCGACAGTTTTATAAAAAATGTTTAGTATATAGTTTAGGTACTTACTTCCGCGCCGCACGTTCCTTCTGCAAACGTTTTGCATTTCTATCGAAAATATTTTGGTAGACAGGTTGCGTGCTAAATTTAGCTGTTGAACTGCTGTCACAGAAACTAATTTCATAGCCTTGCAGCATTTGCTTTGTACTTAATTGGCGGATGTTCTTCAACATTTTATCTTATAATCTAACTCAAACAAAATTGAAATCATATAATGCAAATATATGTTCCCGGCACGAATTTAATGTTGTTAACAGCTGTGATGGTCATCAGATGTTTTTTGTTGTAGGCGAAGCGTTGCCAACTCAAATGTTTTGGCAGATAGATTTGCCAATCACACGGAGCAGGGCAGGCATGCCGGAAATCGTAACAGGAAACCAAAATACCTGAGGATAATGAAATTTCCGTTCCTTGTTTAAAGGAGACGGGTGGTTCTGCCATGGGTGGCTCTCATTTAATTTTATAGCTTAAAAACATCATGAGAACCGACTCAAACATTTACTTAATACATTTTTTCGTACTGCCTTATCTGGTGCATGAATGGAAACTAAGATTTTCTGGATAGTCAATATATTTTAAACACACAAAAGTACAATAATTTAAAAAGCTATATTAAAAAAAAAGTTTGGTATTAAACGTATTTATTTTTTTGCAATCTTCAGCTTGCCCCCATTAATTAAAACACCCCCCTTATTCGCTGCGTCGATCTCCGAGTGCTTGCGTTTGGCCGCAAATGGATTAACGGCATTGAGCGGAGTGCGTGTGACTTCTTTTAGTTCATCATTACTGGTATCCAACTTTTCGGGATTCTTATCTGGCATGTTTTCTTGGGATTCAATTGATTCTGTATTTGTTGCTGTAAGTGTGGGAGATGCTGAGTGATCAGTCCCATTAATTACTGCCGATTTTTTGCCAAAGGTAACTGGGGAATTAGACATGGCAAAACGTTTCAGTGATGCACGTCTCGCATGTGTTAGCTCCATAGCTTTTGGCGCAATTCGATTGCCACTCGTTGAACTGTTACCAAAACTGGGACTTTGGGAACGAACAACTGGCGAGAGTGTAACGTGGTTCTGCTGAAATTCGTGTAATTCTTGTCGTTCGCGTTGACTTTGTTCTTCGATTTGTGGCATGAGTTCTGACAGGCGATCGGAGAGATGAATACGGCCCAACTTCGTAGCATACTTGACAGCCAAGAGCAGCAGGTCTGGACAGGCAATAGTTTCAATAAGTTCTTTTGCACGCATTTCCACTTCAGTACGGCAAGCCAATGCGAACAATTTGATTGCCGTTTCTTTGATAGTTTTCTCTGGATTTTCTATAGACATAATAGAAGCCCGTACCAAAGTATCCTCCAGTTCAGATTTTTCCACTTCAACATCGCATATTGGTAGCTGCATTGTAAGTTCCTGGGTCATCGGGCGTGGATTGGTCATTGGGTACGAGCTGCCACGGCACAAAACAGCTTGTATAATTTGACTGCGTTCGGACACAGCAATGACAAAGTAATAATTTGAAACGCTCTGACTTTGTTTCAGAGTATCGCAGATTGGATACCAACATTGACTTTTAAGGCTGTACAACTGTAACAAACCCATAGAATCAGCAAATACCGGCGAACCGCAATCCGAAAATCCTAGCCATGTCAGCCGACGCTCTGGCGTCAACGGTACTGCCAAATGTTGTGTGCGCAACTGCATTCCAGCCGTTTGTATAAGCATAGCAGATAAATGCTGCTGCATGGTACCAGGTGGCGCGCTGTGGTACAATACAAGTATACGATCTTCATGGCCAGCAAGCGCCACTACAGGTCCGGGAATGGATATGATTTCACGCTGGGTGCCCATTACTGTAAAAAGACGAAGAAACTGCATGCTAGTGGCAACACCTACGAGTTTATTAGTAGCGATCAATGCCTCAGTGCTTTCACAATCAGGAAATGTGACAGACCATTCCTTATTGCCGGATGCAGCGAGTGCGATGCAAACCAATTTAGTTGAATTTTCAGCAGACAATGCCAGTACGCTCGTGCTCAAGCTGGCAATATTATGGTTGCTGTAGTTCGGTATATGCAGGGAGTGATGAACGCTGGCGTCGTGAAATTCCACATCTAGTGAACCGTCAGTACCTTCCGTATGGGCTGTTACAATGCCTACTTCATTCCATGCAAGATAACGATGTTCCAGATGGGTTGGTGTTGCGCCTGGTTGGAATGCAGGCTGTTGCTTGAACGTCTTCACCAATATTTGTGGCTCAATATCGCCATTCACAGATTTTGTTAAGGAATGGCGCGTATTTTCATCTTGGTCATCAGCATACCCGCCTGCCTTGCGCATCACTTGGTTTTTTAATCGCTCTATTGATATCCCGTCGTCATCGTCATCATCCCCATCGTTTCCTTCACCTGCGCCCAAGCCACTGCCGCTTGCCATGTCGTCATTTTCATCATTGTTGAATTCAATATCCCCAAAATCAACTTCCTCCGCTTCACCATCTGCGAATATGGCACCATTTCCACCTTTCGTACGAAACAATGTTCCCAGTTGTCCAGTATTATCGCAAAATGCTAATTCAGTTCCTGCTGCGTTCCAACTTATGCAAGTGATGGACTGACACTCGCTAGTCGGCGGTTCCGTTTTTAAGGGCTGTTTGCGCAGAAAATCGAAAACGCTTACTTCGCCTTTTGTTGTACCCGCCGCTAGGTATTGCCCATCCTTTGAAAAATTACAACATGTATATTCTCCCTTGATTCGTTCATCGGACAGCGTAAACTTCACTTCCCATGTGTCCGTATTCAACACGAAGACTTCTTTCCCGTGGACATAAGCTAACGACTTGCTCCTTTGTGGCTCAAAGCATGGGGTTCCGAATTGTTCTGCAGTCTCAAAACTATTTGCCTTCGGCAAGCCACTGATGTTTTTCACTTCTAGTCCTCCCTGTTCTAAATTCCAAATTTTCAGCTGACCGTCTCCTCCGATGGAAGCAAGGAATTCACCCTCGTGGCAGATATCAAGCCCCAGCAGGGGCCCACTGTGCCCTTGTAAATGCAATTCGCTTTTACCATCATCACTTTTTAAAACCTTAATATTTGTATCATCTGAGCCCGCAGCGAGATACTTCTCATGGGCACGGAGGCAAGTCACTGGTGCCGTAAAACGCATTAAGGTGCCATCATTTTCTAATTCTGGATATGTGTATGCTTGCACAGTGTTTCTATCTGTGGAAGCTAGTAGACGTTTTTTGCTATGCGCAATACACACAACAAACTCACCTAGGCAAGTGGAGCTGGGATCATCGTCATCTATGCCGCGCCACATACGAATATCGCCATCAGAGCCGCAGGTAATGATGAATTCGCCATCCTCTGTGAAAATGAGACTTGTGAATCCATTGGTATGTGCGTATCGCAATGAGCTGCGTTCGTAAGCCATTTATTAATTAAAAAATTATGTATAAACTCTCGACCGACAGTGGAAAAATTGTATGGATGATGAAGTGTTTGGCGCCAAAACAGTGTTGGTCAAGCAGCTGCCAAAAGCCAAAAATTGGGGGAAAGCAAATGAAAACAAAACAAATACAGAGTTGTATTGGAAGTTTGGACTTTTAATTTAAGGAATATGGCAACATAGATCAGCTGGGCAGTTTTTTCTCGAATGGGGAAATTAAAATTCCTTTGTGTACAAAAGAAAAAACAACGTAAGTTATCTTTAACAGGAATTTCGACGTATTAGTTTTCCAGAAATTAAGAGGGTTTTAATAAATTGCAAGCAATATTTAAAATAATTCAAAGAAAAATCACGAAGATACATACATACAGTTATATTTAATAGGTGATCAATTTTGTGTGTGCATAAAGTACATAGCACAAGGAATAGTAGCATCAAAAAACTCACGAACCAGGAAGTCATGGCCAATAATTACTTGCAGCCAGTACACAATCACTTCGATCTAAATGCCACTGACCTAGAAGACGTGGATGATGACATTTTTTTGAATAATTCACGTACGAATAGCACATTGTCTGGTCGTGGTAGTGGAGTCGGCAGTACTATGGGTGGGCGTAGCACTAACCCATTCGAAGACCCACAACAGATATATGCCGAGCGACGCAGAGAAATCGAAGCCCGTTCGTTAGAGTCCACGCAACGTAGCTTAGGTACATATGGACATATATAACATTACATAATCTTTCTGCTTTAACTTTACAACAACACAATTGTTTACTCCCCCATAAGGCTTGCTGTATGAAACTGAGGATGTGGGTAAGGCCACAGCGGTTGAATTGGCCAAACAACGCGAACAGCTGGAGAATACGTCGCGGCAGTTGGACGAAATTAATTCCACGTTACGCTTCAGTCAACGACACTTGAATGGGTTGAAAAGCGTTTTTGGTGGACTTAAGAACTACTTATCTGGTAATCGTGATGTACCGCCAGCGTCGCGTGCACCTAGCGCACAAGCTGGTGGCGCTCAATCGATGCAGCAGGAACCACAAGATAGTACCGGAAATAGTAGCTCTTCACCAACAGCTATGTCGCCCACCGAACGCTACGACAATCATCCTATCAGTCGTATCCGTGACGATTCAACCGCCTATAAGCAACGGGAGCAAGTACAAGCACAGCGACGTAATAATCCTTTTGAAACGCAATTAGAAGCGAATTTAGAAGAGATGTGCGATAATTTGTCGCGTTTAAAATGTCTCGCTACGGATTTGGGTGGCGAAATTGAATCGCAAAATGAGTTGTTAGACAATATGAATTATAAAATTGAAGATGTCGATATAAAAATGAACAAGCAAAATAAAGAAATGTACAAATTGCTTGGCAAAAAGTAGGTGTCGGTCTCGTAGTTGAAGAATAATCGTGGAGCTCTGCAATTGTAATAAATTATGTTTTAAAATTCTATATTGAGCTTTACATGCATCTATATATTTTGACTACTATATACATTACAAATCATTTATTTGTGGATTTCTGTGTAAAATCTTTAATGCATTCCCTATTAAGCCCAATTTCGCTTTGAGATGAGACTGTCATAATATAGAGTAATTCTCAAAAATAAGGACAGTTTCGTTTACTTTATTCAAAATGTTTATAATGGTAAATATTTTTCATTATTTTTTTTACAAATATGGTTCATACTATAACAAAAAGCATACATATGTATATGTAAATCAAAGTTTTAAAACTTATTCCAAAATTTAAAAAAAATTCCTATCCAAAATTTAAATTTTTTAGTATTCAGTTTTATACGCGCATTCAATTTGACTACAAGGTTTAATGTTTTTCCAAAATTAAAAAAAAAATCCTTAAATTCCTATCCAAATTTTAAATTTCGCATAATTTTTCTATATATACGAGTGCGCTTATAATTATCAAAAATCAAACCATTTTGTGCTACTTTAAACTTTCACTTTATTATACTAAAATGGAATGGGCTATAAGACTGCATACCCAACAATTTTCCAAAAATTCTGATTACTAATTTTGAAATTTGGATGAGAAAATGCGGTATGTTCTCTTAAATTTTGCAATAAAATGGAACTTTGATATATACGATTTTTGTTATAGTATATTTACATAAACAAGCAATTTTTAAGCAAAAAACAAAACCGACTTCAATTATCATATAAAAATTTAAGATTATCGTTAATTTCTTTATGATCGAAATGATCAGATTTAAACCAATTGATAACCTTCTCCTTTAGTGATGTCGGTTAATTAAAAATTAACGAAAAATATTTAACTTGAAAAACATTTTGAATATTGTAAAAAAATACATATATACTTTGTATGTGTTTGTAATGAGAAATAGTTCAAACATAATTGCATAGCATTAAACAGACACAGTTTTTCAACATATCCTTAGCAGCAAGTATAAATTGAATTGGTTTTGAAGTAAGGGCTACGTATTCGCTGTTTAAAGTGTATAAATATCAATTCGCATATGTTATACATATATCCATATATTCATTATAAAATAAATATTAAGATCTTTTGTAACCAATGAAGCAGTTTTCATGATATTCAGAATTTTAATAAATAAGCGAAAACCATGCATTTGAGAACTTTTTAATCAAGGCGAATTTAAATTCACTTTGCTTTTGATGAAAAATTGAAGATAAGTTAAATGTAAAACCTTTTTTATGTTTACAAGCTTGCGTTTTAAAGTGACGTGATCTCTTTCATTATATGCTTATCTGACAATTTGCGATTTCAAAGGAAGTTCAAAGAAATGTACAGATGATAAACGAGTTGTTGACTACAGCGATGAATCATCACTCTTCGCTGCTAAAATACAAATCCTACTATGTAAGCGATGTTGTCGTCGCTAATTAAATTAGTAGATATTTAATGACGGCGCAAGTTTAGTGTTTTATTTTCGATTCATCATATAAGGTGCAAAAAGGATTAGATTGAATTAAAAAATGTATTTTACTTATTCTTTATTCAAATTATTTCTGTAGTTTGTTCAACTCCCATGCATTACGATGATGAAGACAAAGTAACAAATCTTCTGCGTTTTGTTCGAAATCTCTCATTAAAATACATAAGCTTTCTAAAGCGAGAAGCCCTGTCTTCGACCGGTACGAATTTCGTAAAGCTTGCATCATCGCTGAGTGGCAACAAAACTACACCCATTAATTTACAACGGAAGTATTCTGAAAGCAATGGTATGCATTCATAACTATAATGATCATATAACCGAATAAAATCATTAAAAAAGTACCTATTTAATCAGCGAGGTAGAGGCGTTCTATAATTTTTTTCAACAATTAAAACTATACCTGGGCAAATAAAGTATTCGAAAGTATTTGAAATATGTATTTTCAAATGCTGAATAACAAAACTTACTAAAATTCTAAAACCGTATCTACATTAATAAACTGTTCTCAATCAAAAAGCGGCAGCTTATTGTGGAAGAATTAATTGTTGTAAAATGTTTGCAACACTTCTACAACGAGTTTAAAACGTTCTCACACAATCAAATTCACTTTCAAGCTGATTTAAATGTGCAATTTTTTTTTCTTGATTTCTGTTCATTGCCCATTCGATGTAAAAAAGGAAAATATAATTGCTATTGCCTGACAAGCAAAAACTTGTTTGGTAATTTCTGGATATTAAGCGAACTAGTATATATATGAACCGGGTTTACGTTCCCAAGACAGTCTCGTATACGTAACCGGAACGACCTATGTAGTTGTATACCAAAGAATGTCACTCCAGCATCATTCCCAAAAACTATTTGGCGAATTTATATATAATTTGGCAATTACAGCAATAGAACTCATTCCAAATCTATACATAAATTTATCAATACCCAACGTTCCCCCACAAATTAAGAAAAAACAGCCTTTTATTGTTTTTTTTTTTACCACTTACGGCATGTACTTAGCAATTATTGTATTTATTGAATTTTCCATTGTTCCTTGATTTACGCAATATTTACTTTCTTCCAGTGTACTATTGCTTCAACTAATTGTTTAATAATTTGTATGTATATGGATTTTTGTTTGCAACATTTCAATTGAAATAAGTAGATGATTCTTTTAAATATAATATAATTAATACAATAGTATGTTCATCAAAAATCGATAAAAGGCAAAGATAAAGAACGTTACTCAATTTTCATAAATTTCTATATTCTTGAAGAATTACACGGAGAGAACGTTCAGGGTATAAGATTAAAAAAAAAAATGGAACAGCTAAAAATATGTTTAACTAACGACAAAATTAACCAAGAACATTTAAGTCAAAAAAGAAAAAAAAATAGGATTAACATTTTAAAATCAGTAATTATATAAAAGAAAGCAACTTAAAGAATTTGATGTTAATCATACTTTTTATACACTAATTTTAAGTTTAATTTTACAAAAAATGACGGGTAGTTAGTGGTGCATTAAACAGTGGTTTTGTTGTAAGTAGTTAGCCGGAGGGACACACTTACATATGAAATTTTTTTATTATTAAATGAATTAGAATGATGAATTTTTCTTGGCTGGTTTAGGGTTGCGAACAAAGAAACTTATTTCTTTGATGTGTGAGCTAGGGTCACGTACTATATCTGCATGTAGTTGTGAGTAATGTGATTGTACGTATAACGGGTTGACATGTGTGTACGTTATTAAAATGTGTTATTTATTTGTTTCTGATTTTTCTTGCGGTATATTAAAATTGTACTATGTCACTGCGTAAGTTGAAAGGTTGTTCACTTTTTCACTGCAGCGTCACCACCATTTCCATTGCCCGCGAGGGGTGTCTGGTAAGAGTATTGCGACCAGTATTGGTTCGCATCACTGGTACCAGCCGCACCGGCTGCCGCTTGTGGCTGTTGCTGATTTTGCTGAAAAATATCAATAGTTTGTTTGTTTGTAATGGTTGCATTTAAGTAGCACATCTGTTATTACCTGCCACCAAGCTAGCCACTCTTGCTGCTGGTTGGGATCGGCATTAGCCCACTGCTGCTGCTGTTGTTGAGCATTGCCGTAGCCTGCGATGAATCTATTTGGAATAACTAATATTAATTTTTTTTTAATAATTTTTACGCACCTTGCGTATCCCCATATCCCCAGTACTGTTGCTGCACGGCGGACTGTTGCTGGTATTGTTGATGTTGTGGCGCGTGTTGCTGCCAATTGCCTCCGCTGGCCATTTGATGTTGCTGCTGCTGGGGGTGTTGTGACTGTGGCTGACCATAGGAACTCCATTTACCGCCACTTTGCGATGAGCCCTAACAAAAAAAAAGTTCATAATGTTTTCGTCGAAAATATTAAAATACAAATTAATCTACCTTACTGCCTCCTGTCCCCGCTGACTTGCTACTACTGTACTGGTGGTGTCCGTGATAGGCGCCACCATGGGCGCTGCTGCTACTGACGGCGTTATTCGCATTATTGCCGTACTTTGCTGCCGCGCCTCCAGCCGCACCCGAGCGTTCATAGCCACCGCGACTATCTTCTGTACGATTGTCGCGGTGGCCAGGCCGAAAATCCCGCTGGTTATCACCACCGGAACGATAATTATCGCGTCGACCGCCGCCGCCGCCTCCTCCTCCGCCTGCATTGCGTTCACGGTGATCGCGGTCACGATAGTCACGACTGCCGCCGCCGCCGCCTCCGCCACCACTACCACCATACGAGTTGTAGCGCCCGCCACCGCCACCACCCGAGTCATAACGACCCCCACCGCCGCCTGAACGATTATAGCGATCATCATAGCGATTACCGCCACGATTATTTTGGACCCAACTTTGTGGGCCATTACTATAGCGGTTGTTACGATTGTCATAGCCACGACCACCACCGCCGCCGCCGCCACCGCCATAACCACGATCGTCACGCCAACCAGGACGGTAGCCGCCACCACCACCGCCGCCGCCCCAGCGATTACCGCCACCACCTCCACCGCGGCGATCATTCCAACGATTGAAATCGCGTCGTGCGCCGCCGCCACCTCCACCATCACGATGCCGGCGATCATCACGATGATAGTTATCGCGTCGATTGCGCTTGTTCGGCTGGCTTTCGTCCAATGCCTTCTTGCCTTTCTCGTTGTAACGCTTCACCTCGTCCTTTGCCTCATCGCCGCTTAGATCAGTGTAGATCACTTCATCGAACCAATCCAGATCAGTAGAGGGTAGCGTAAAGCTGGCTGTAAGCAAATTTTCAAGGGATAGAAATGATTGAGTGTGACTTAAATGACCAAAAGGTGCGTTTTTGTATTTTTTTATTTTTGCTACAGCAAGAAAATTGGAGAAAATATAGTGCGCGAAACACTTGATCGAAAGAATAACACAAAAAGTATAAATAATTGAGTTAAATGCCCAGATTGCGAATCGAATTTAGTGATTCAAATTGGCAATTTGTGGAAGTGTGTGATTTGTGTTTTATTCATACGACTCATGAAACGAATATAAAATTTGTAACAATTATTTGGAGTTCGTGTATCCAACAAACTTGCAAAGTAGAGGAAATTGAGAAAGCAAAGTTCGCTTGGAGGGAAAGTTGCAAATTTTTACTAGAAAAATGTAAACTTGCAACAATTTGTCAGTAAGAAAAACCAATGAAAGCAAATCACACTAATATAGTTGAAATTGACAAAATAAGCCTATTTTAGGCTCATCTGATCTGAGCGTATATCTGAATTTTTCGGCATAGGACTAGTTTCTTTTTGATTTCATATTGTAGAATGATCAATTTTAAAGAAAAATGTCGAAAATGGAGAAAACATCTCCATTACTTTGGATTTTATTCCCAGTTTTATCAAACTACACGAAAATTATGATTATTTTTTTTGGACATAAGGGACTAGATTGAAGTGCGAAAATATGCGAAAATGTGGAAAGAACATCCTTAATACTTTTTTGCATGAATTATTCGTAATTTATGAAACTTGAAACGTGTATTATCTCAACTGCTCTGGGCTACGAAAACGCAGTTCAGACCACCATACTCTCTTCTTGCTCATGGAGGGGCAACAAACAACGTTCGACCTTTCAAAAATCGTGACAATTATTATTAAATCCGTTGTAGCCTTCAAAATTAAACTTTTCGCCACCCACCATTTGTAGTTGTCCTTTCAGGCATGCGAGTCGTACAAAATTCCAGTCATGATTCTTAACGCTGTATAGTAAAATTGATGGCCTTTTCTGAGATTTTGTGAACACAAGTGTATAGAGTAATACGTAGTTTCCCTGTAGTGTAACAACACCAACGTTTTTCATTCATTTTGGTCCACTATCTCGACAATAACTAGTTTTTGTGTTCTGGCTCCATTTCATGCGTTTTCATGCGAAGCTGTGAGCCGGTTTCAGCTGTCAAAAACATTCGCATATCCTTCAGTTTTATTTCCAACATTTCCTGGATTCGTGAAGCCCGTCAATTTATGCATCTTTTGCAGTTGAAAGTGCTATAGTTCCAATTATTTTTTAAATTCTTAAAAAAATTTGAATTGCAATTTTAATAACTTTACCAAACATATAAGGAGGCTACGCATCCTTGGGCCTTTCAAGTGAATCAAAATAATAAGCATAATTTTCGAGTGGTTTGATAAAATTTTGAATAAAAACCAAAGTAATCAAGGAGTTTTCTTCATATTCACCACTTTTCTTAGAAATTAATCATTCTTCAAAATGACGCCCACAAGTCCATATATAAGCTTGGATCTTGAGAAAAATATGTGTACCTATTCAAGTGAAATTTCGTCGGAAAATACGCAATTAATTAACTGATAATAAAACTTACAGATTGCGTTCGCAGTGTTTTGAATATTTTTCTCTTTGAGAGCGAATTCTCGGAAATCAAATTGCAGGCAAGTTACTGAATATTTACTGGAGAATACATGAACCTAACCTTTTAACTTAAAAAGCAAAAAAATTGGGTGGAAATTACTCAGAGAGAAAAATTTTTCCATAATTTCATATGTAGTGATCTGATCTTAACTTCCGCTTGGCAATAGACTTTGCTGTAACTCTTCATCACTTCGTTGATTTTCTCTGAGCGCTTTTTCACCTATGTCCAATTGATTGTCATCCAACACTGTCAGTTACCAGTGTATAGGCACTTCCAGAATGATCCTATTTGAAGCAAAGCGTTATCATGATGCAAGTGTTGCTGACAGTTTTATCCAGCATTACATTGCTCTATATATTATGAGATATTTCAGTATTTCGCTTTACGTTTCAATAAAAAATTCCTATCGGCGTAAAGTTAATTTGCCTGCGGAAGAGTCTATCATAGAACTCTTGGGTTAGGTTCGAAGGGTATTTATTGCCTGTTCTGAACGCTGGACGAGATACCACTCTAAATGGATTCAAATAGCTTCTTGTCTTGTCTAGCTAGCTTCTGGGGTTTGACGACCATTAGGTTCGAAAAATGTATTACGCTTTTATACTTTAATTTAGCTTTATTAGAGAAAAAGTTTAAACCTGTTTTGTTTTTTTTTCACAGAAAATACAAAAGTACCTTTCTGACTTTTTGAAATTCACACATTAATAAGATGACCGATATAAAATAACGGATGCAGGTACAAGAAGATCCTTCGAAAATCGCATGTANTCACACATTAATAAGATGACCGATAACTATAAAATAACGGATGCAGGTACAAGAAGATCCTTCGAAAATCGCATGTAAAAACGACGAATACATTGTAAAAATCTTGGTTAACTTCTCCGAGTGCCGAGCAATGAGAAAATACTGCAAAACTTTCTTGTGGGAAACCAAGTTATCTAAAAGGGTAGTCGTGAAAAATTTGAAATGCACATTTAGAAAAAGGAGGAACAGATTTTTGATTTTTTTTTTAATAATTTTAATAATTAATTAAAGAGGTTATGGAACGAAACCGAATTTAGGGGCTCTGAGGGACTTTAAAGCAGCCTTACTATAAGTGAGAATATGTTAAGAAGTACATACGATGAGCAATTGTTGACCAATCTATTTCTGTATAATTTTCTATTCAGCCAAATACATAAGTATTAACGGCTAAGAAAAATTAGTAGGAGCTATTCGAAGTCAAGTGGATACACGAAGAAGATACGTCTTCATTAGGACAAATTTTGGTAAATTCAATACTGTTGCTGCAGAATATTTTGAAGTTATGGAGAAAAGTTTTCGTTTTTTACAACAAAAGCAGTAGAAATATATGTTAATATATATGTATGTTTTAAGACATTTTTACCAACACTGAAAAGAAATTACACATTTACATGTATGTACGCAAAATATAGATAGTATTTCATAAAATAAAAAAAAAATATTATCAAATTATATTTGAAACCTGCAAATTAAAATAAAAGCTATGCTTATACAGTAAAGAAAATAAAATAAATACAATCAAATTTAAAACTTTTCTAAATACGCTAACACCTGCATTGACAGTAGTAACAGTCAAAAGTAGATGTGCGCACAAAAATGTGCAACTCCATGTATGTATATAACTGTAAGTATATAGTACATAAATCAAATATGATGAATTAATAAACAAAAAATGAAAGAAAGTCTTATTTGAAAACCTAACTCTTGTAAAATAAGAGACAAACACTTTTCGCATTTTTCTTATGCAACTTTACATATCTTAACGCAGCTAATATAAAATTTTCATAGGTTTTAGATTTTTACGTGCTTACGTTTTTAATTTTTGTTTGGTTTTGTTTGTGATAATTACCTCGTAAATTATTTAATGTTGATTCTCTTATTGTATTAGCATTGCCCTTTTCAGTTTTCTCAGTGTTGCGCCGTTTCAATTCATCTTCACTTGGTATACAAACAACTGCAATGCGTTTGAAGTCGCCGAAACCTTTCATTTTGCGCCGTTGTGCGGATGCATATGCATTTGTCTACAAAATCATGATCACACGTGGATGAGGATGTTGATGACAAGTTGTTGTAGGTAGTAGTTGTTGTTTTGTAGAAATTGAGGTTTTGATTTATCATTTTTGGTTTTTTTTTTTAATTTTTTGCTTGCACTTGAAGCAGTAGTAGTAGTAATACATAGTAGTAGGTAGTAGTCACAAATATTTCACATATTTGTTGCTCGAGTTGTTGCGAGTGTTGATTGGCGCATTTTATCTCTAACATAATTGCATACTTTCATTGGGTTTTAAACATTAAACATTGCCTTAACATCTCTGATTTAACTGTATACTTTTCCTCACACATCTTTGTTAGAATTCAAATTTAACGGCAACCATTTGCTTTATCTCCCTTTTTGTTTAAGTATGTGAATAAAAACCCAAACCGATAGTGATAGGATAACTTAGTACTAAAACATACCTTGTATTTTTTAACTCCACCAAAATATATGTATGTGCAGCAAATAACCGTATTATGCTATTTAAAATGTTTTTGTTTTTTAAGCTCTGGGTCGAATACATAAAATAATGTATGGCATACGTTTCGGATGTAGTACATATGAATGTAATGGCCTGCTTAGACAACAAAAGATACTTGCAAAGTTGGTAATGGCAATACGACTTAAAGCCAGTTGCACGCCACCGATAGTAAAATGCCAACATTTTGCTGGCGTCTATGTACTTACAGGCATACTTGCCGCACGATCCTCCTCCTATGTTAACAGTGGTGACAGATAATTACATTTGCTTCGTTGTACTTTGAATTTGCTCCCGCTGCTGCCGTTAATATTGCTGTTTATAACGCTGGTATACAAAACCCAACTTATACTCACTTGGCTGGCACACTTATGTACATATGAGTACATGTGTGTATGTATGCATGTGCATAACTATTGTGGTAGGAGCAACTTAAATTTTCTAAGACTCACCTTGGCTCAACATGTTGCCGCCTCAACACAATTAATGGTAAAGGCAGTTGCGATTTATTTTTGCGACTTTTTTTTAAATCCGAAATTAAATTGAATAAGAAAAAAAATAATACTATACAAATACGTTTAAAATTTGAAAAGTGTATAAGGCGCTATACGAGCGCAGTGATATACTCATGGGTCAAAGGAATTTGTGTAACTTAGAACGAAAAAGGCTAATATTTATTGTATGTCAAACATATTATGAAATTAGGAAATTAGTGTAATAAATTAAAAAAATAATGCTAGAAAGGCCTACTTTGAAATAGTGGATAAATCCTTTGTAAAAACTTAAATGGCTCAACANAATACTTTGAAATAGTGGATAAATCCTTTGTAAAAACTTAAATGGCTCAACAAACACTCTCTGCAACTTTAATTTTCTTCGTTTTTTACTTAACTGCTTTAAAGCACACAGTGACTATTAAAAAATAGGTTCAAATTTCAGCTTTGCAAAATTCTCATTTCCGTTGCCGAAAAATAATAATGAAAATAGAAAGTTTAAGCATGCCCCGAAAAGCTCGAAAGTTTCACTGGACAGCCACAGCTTTCGAGTTGCCGCAATTATACATTTGAAGTTAACTCCTTATTAATTCGAGATCAGGGAATCAGAGTAAAAGATATACATATGTATGCATTGCCACGGGTTGGTTTGCTTGGTTTACTTAATTTGTTTACATCATGCCCTAAGGTTTCGATATTAATTTCCATTCAACATAATAACATCGAGCGGAGTCCCATTTTTAAGATTTCTTCAGTCTGTTCGATGTCGTGTTTCCCCCAGTTTTTCACAAAATAATATAGACATTCAAACCTCGGCGTCCAATATTCTTCTATAAGTGGTCAACTTGCTTAACAATAAGAAATACATACATACGTACCACTCTAACGCCAAAATAGTAGCTCCTCTTTAAAACCATTCGTTATTGTGGTGTACAGCAGGTCAGCAAGCTGAAGTAGTATTCCGTTTTCAGACATTTGGCATACGTGCTTATATCCAAATAGGTACTTCCTTGAAGCATTACAAGACTCAAGGTATCTTTAATTTATAGTTTAGCCCGCATGACCTGCATACGCATGCACATACACACTTTCCTCTCTGATCATTAAAATACTAAAAAGAGTTAACTTCAAACTCAATAAAATTTAAAAATTCAAAATATTTTGTATCAAATGGCTTAAAGCTTAACCAACAATTTTTGTTTGCCTAATAACACAAACGTTTGGCATTTCACCTTTAAGCCTTTGAACCTACTTTCCCTACTTTGGGACACTGTATGCCTTATCCTCTGTCAAAATCCTGTATTTTTTTTAAATCCTCAAGCTAATCACAGCAGAATAGTACCGAATTACCTGATCAAGTATGAAATTGCGACGTCGCTTGGTTGCAATCTCCTCAAGGGGAGACAAGCTATTCAAGCACAACTCGTAAACACGCTCCCAGCGTCCCTTATGTAAGGGTTTACGCGGTGCACCATCAATCTGAAAAGAGGAATGCCACGAAAAATTATTTAACTTAATTTAGGTAATTACACATTATTTCACTTACAGTCATCTTAGCAATTAATGCATCTGCACCTATAACATGATAACGTTTCTCCTGATTATCTTTAATATGTTGTAATGCCCAATGTGTTTTGCCTGCTCCGGGAAGGCCAACCAAAAGAATGACTTCGCATTCCTTTCTACTGCTCGGTCGCTGTGGACCAGGTACATATTTTTCTTCTGGTATCAAAGCGATAAGCTCATAGTCGGGCAATAATGACACGGGATCGCGTGGTTCTGGAATGACTTCCTCATATTCATCCTCGGAGGACTCACGTCGTTTCTGTTTTACAGAATCGAGACGTTTGCGTTTGTTTGGCGAAGGTCCGTCGTCTTCTTCATCATCTTTTTTCTTACTTTCCTTTTCATTTTCAGCTTCTTTCGGTGGCTTTTCTTCATCTGCTGCTGCCGCGGTGTCACGATTTTCTTCAACCTTTTCGGCATCATCAGCAGATTTAGTTTCGGGTTGTTCTTCAGTGGACTCGGTAGGTTTGGGTTCTAAAATAAAGATTACATTAACGTATTTAAGAAGCTAATAATGCGTATTTAATGCATGCCTAGATTATTATACGATTTCTATTCCTGCAAATTCAAATACATTGAATATACCTTATATGCATTAATAACACAAAAAAGGTATACAAAAGTCATCGACAAAAACATCGTGTAAGGGTTGGAAACACTTACTTGGTTCTTAAATATGAGTTGCTTTTAATTATAGCTTACCTTCATCTTTTTCTATGTCCTTTTCCTCGGCCATCGCCAATTCTTTTTCTTTTTCTACCTCCGTTTCCTTCATTTCAACATCTTCATTTTCAGCATTCTTTTCATTGGAATCTTCTTTCTCTTCCCCAGTCTTCTCAGGTGGTTCACCTTCCGCCTTAGCGGTTTCCCCTTCTTCTTTAGCTTTACCATCCGCCTCCTTTTCCTTTTCCTCTTCCTTTTCTTTCTCTTTTTCTGCTTCAACTGGTTTTTCTTTTTTCGGTTTACGCCTCATACGCTTTGGTCTCTCCACATTGGCGAGCAAATTCTCATTGTCAGCGAAATTCACATGGTACTCATAGCCCTTAGTTACAATATGGGGAAATAGCGCATCGCTTTCGCCCAAAATATCTTTGTCAAATTCAAAAGCCACTCCAAGATCCTCACCATTCAACGTGTACTTAATTGTACATGGGGTACTATCCAAATCCAAGTAACAACCAATTACATCATCCAGTTGATATGGTTTGGAAAATTCAGAGAATTCTGAGTTAGTAGCTTTCCGACCAGACTCGCAATAGGCAAATGAATTTTCTGCTTCGCCAAGCAATAAAGTGGTGTTTGGTAAAGAGAATCCGACACGAAAACCACGCACATGTGGTTCATCACGGAACTGATGAGTTCGTCCCAATTGAGTTTCCTCGGCCAAACGTACTTCAAAACACACTTTGCCTTCACGCACGCCATAGTTGGTGCGAGCACCAGACCAAATCAATGAATACACTTCGTGAGACATGGGTTTTGCTGACGTGAATGTGACAGGATCAATACGTAAATGTAAATCGGAATCAACTGCAAATATAAAAACGTGATTAAATAATAAATATACGAAAAAAACCAGATAAATATATTGAAAATGTATACTATGAACATACACTGCTGGCAGAAATAATAGAAAAGCCTGATTTTATTTATATTTATTTTCTTTAATTTTTTATATCCTTTTATTTATTTTATATTTTAATAAAAAATTCAGAATTTTTATTTATTATATTTAATTTTAGCTAAACAATTGTGTAATTTTTAATAATTTTTTTTCCATCGACTTTACTCTTATTACCATGATACAAAGAAGAAAATAGTTCCATTTGATGACATTCGTTTTTTTTTTCTTGTAAAAATAAACGAATATTGCCGAATTTCCACTTGGCATTGAAATGACAAACATTTTATGCCATTTAAAAAAATGCCATGTGGAAATGAACTCAATGATTATTTTTTCACATAATGACACGATAATTTTTTAATGCCCGACTTTGTCATTTGTCATTTTTGCCATTTAATGCCTAGTGGAAATCCAGCATATGAATGATAACTATTGAAGTTAAAGCAAATTATTGAACATAAATTAAAAACAAAAAAATATTGCACTGTTCAGAAATGCATCAAGCCAAAGCATTACCTAAAACTTTTGTGAAAATTCTGAATCAGTTTGAATTTCGAAAATTTGTTGATTTTTATATAGTATATATTGTACAACGTATATTGCGCATTTATATGCAGGGTATTTTATGAGTTTGAGATTTATAGAAACATTAAAAACAAAAGAAATGCAGCCTATGCAGTTCAAAATATGGCGTTTCTATAATTGGTGCCGCCAGTGTAAACATACAAGATGCACAACTTACACCAACTTAAACCAAATTGTTTGTCTTCAATTGTTGGTTCATCTTCAGGATTTGTGGCTTCTTCAGCTTTCGATGGTGTACCATGGCTACCGGCGCCACTGCGGCGTTTTGGTGTGCGAGATCGTGATTTTGAACGGGAACGAGAACGGGAGCGTGACCGCGACCGCGACCTTGATCTGGAGCGTGAACGCGATTTTGACCGAGAACGTGAATGAGAGTTAGAACGGCCGTGACGTTCTTTGGAATGTGAACGCGAATGGGAGCGCTTCCTTCTGCTCGCCTCGGCTTTACTGTCGCCTGCTTCTTTTAAATCCTTTGCTGCCGATGCATCCCTTTCAGCTTCTTCGTCTCTATCATCGATATCCATTTTCTTTCCCTCATTTCCTCCTACCTCAGAGTCCTGCTTTTCTACGTGTCCGTCATCCTCTTCATGATCTTCTTCTTGTTCATTATCACCATTTTCTTCTATTTTTTTACCAGACTGGGCTTCATTGTGCTCCTTTTCTTCTTCTTTTTCTTCTGTCTCGTGTTCTTCGTTTTCGCTTTCAACTGCTGGCACTTCATTAACACCCCGCTGAACATTTTCTTCATTATGTGCATCCTCTTCTGTGGCTGCGTTTCCATCCTCTTCAGCTAGAGTTTCAAGAGTAGGTTCTGCTGCTGCAGCCTTTACGGGGGAAGGCGATGGTGAACGAGTCATTGAACGGGTTCGTCTACTTCGCCGACCCGGCGTCCCAGGTGTGCCTGGAGCGCCGCCTGAGAAAGTTAAATGAAAATGCATAAAGTGTTGCACCAATTACGTATAATACTTTCATTGAAAATATATTTACATATACTTAAAATTAGAGAAATGAAATTTTCCAAACCGATATTCGGCTAAAAATTATATAAAATCATGTTTTTTTTTTTTTTAACAAAGATTTCTTACACCAACGCTTACCTGAACCATCACTTCCACCTTCTATGAATGCCCGCAAACGTTCGATCAACACAGCTTTAACGCCTTTAGTATCAAGACCACGCGTCTCCAGCTCTTTACGAAGGTCTACCACCTTCATTTTATCCAATTTGGCGGCATCCATGCTGGTAGTTGTACCGAAGACTTGCACACTTTTACAAGTTTACTTTTAAGTTAAACTTAATAAATTTATTTAAACAAAACGTGTTAATTGTTCCAAAGTTAACTCTCCAATGTTCACGAAAGTGTGTTACACGATTAAAATAATGTAAAATGAGTCAAAATTAAAATGGAACATAAATGCGGTCGTACTCGCACAAAACGAGAAACGGCGCGAATGCCAGCTTCTCTCGCTCCTCTACTGCTGCTGCAACGATTACCTTTCTACTCGTTGATCGCCAATAGCTAGTGGTAGAAAGGGCTTCAGCAGCGAAAAAATCACCACCAGTCACACCGCACAATTTTTCAATGCACACTTCTCGCACTATTCCCAAAATTTTCAATAATGTTTCATTGAAAATAATAAATATAGCAGTTGCACTACGTTTTTTTAATATTTTTAGCCCAATTTGTGTAAGTTTTACCACGACTTTCACGTTTTTCACGCGGACCACTTTTTTCGATGGAATTCAGTACGTTGTCGTTGGGCGAGTGAACGAGTAATTCGGAATAAGGAGCGAGCGGCGCGGTTCCGAAAAAATGGCGGTGAGTTGCAAAAGCAGATGCTACAGGCCTGGCAGAGCTGCCGTATTAAAAATGGCCGCCTAGTGTATTTGTTGCTTTAATTTCACTGGCCATATTTCGGAGATATTAAAAAAAGGTGGGTACATTTCAGTGCTGCCGCTGTCACTTAAAGTTTTTCACTTCACTTTGGAAGCCTTAAATAACCTAATCGATAAACCCCACTGTAGGGTTTGTATTTGTGTTACTGTCGTTTATTGTACTGTGTTAATTTCAACTTTGTAATTTAAAAATTTTTATATTTAAGTGATTTTGTAGTTCAAACATCAAAGAGAAAATTAGCTTACTTCAAATATTTTTCTTGAGCTGTAAACAACATAATTTCATTTGGAATTTTAAATTAAACCTTTTTTTAAATAAATTTATATATTGTTAACTACAATTGGCGATCCTGCCAGGAGCTATTACGTACTGCAAGCAAGAAATCAGCAACAAAAATATTTGAAGTAAGCTAATTTTCTCTTTGATGTTTGAACTACAAAATCACTTAAATATAAAAATTTTTAAATTACAAAGTTGAAATTAACACAGTACAATAAACGACAGTAACACAAATACAAACCCTACACCCACACACCTAATTATGGTTGAAAGTGGTCAATTACTTCACTTTTCCACCCAAGTCCCACGGGCACATTTTTCATTCGATTTGACAGTTCTCTGGCTCTGTGTTTTGTTTTTGTTTTTCTTCGCTACAAAATTGATGCAAAATATAGGTTCTCCCTAAAAATTTATAAGTTTCCGTATTCATTTAGGTATATACAGATTGATAAACTTTATTTTTCGTACGAAGAAAAAAGCAAGTTTTGATTTGTGAACTAGTTTCGATAAATTTCCTATAAAAATTAGAGACGGCGCCGTTTTGTTCGAAATATGTATGGTTACAAATGAGGTAATTCGCTCTCATAATTTTGTATGGCGAATTACGTAATTCGAAGGGTAATTGGAGTGTGAATTGCGAATGAGAGAGCGAGCAACGTAATTGAGGTGCCGTGGTAAAGCGTGTGTGATTTCACTTCGCTCGAAATTAGGAAACGGCAGCACTGGTATATTTCGTTATAAAACGGAAATAGCTATTTCCGAAAGCTAGCTTTCCATAGGCAAATATGCAGAAATTCGATTTGATTTTTTTTTTATAAACTTAAGCAAGACTTTTTAATAGAGTAAATTAGAGTAAATTCACAACAAAAAGCACAAATAAGTTCAAAATTTAGCACACTAAAATCTATACAAAAAAAAATTTATATCAATTTTCTTTATTGAAACTGTATGCATTTTGTGGGCATTTTCATAGCATTCCGTGCTTTTTTTTTAATAAACTGTAATACAGCTCCGTAAGAGATTTATTCTTCAATAAACACTTTTCTTACTGTAACGCGGTTTTTCTACCATTTACCCGTCTTCAGTTAATTTCAAAATAAACTAATATATAGCATGAACATGCAAACATACATGTGTGTACGTAGAAGTAGTTATACTTATATGCAAATAAGTGACAAAAACGCACACCTTTCCAAGCCAGCAATTCATAATTGTTGTTGTTACCCTCCTTTAATTTGAACCTAGCAACGTTTTGTTTTGATTGCCACCTACCCACTCGTTACACTCATTCCAACACATACTATCTTGCCACAACAATAGACTTCACGCTAGAAAATTCCTTAGATTTAGTTTATTGTTTACTCTTCAAGGGAGCGCAAGTACAAGCACCCACCCGTTCGTTGAATTATTAAAACAAATAGTTTTTTTTTTAATAATTAATTTCAGTGAACATACATAAGTGCTTTAAAAAGTATGGCTCATACGGCGCGTGCCCATAGTACATCAAAATCACATGAATGTTACGCTTTCAACAAACCATCTAAGCAACGTTCCAAATCTGCAAATCCACCAACGACACACCTTCTCGTAAATTTTTCTATACAACGAGCGCGTCATGTGCCACCATTTTCAGTGCAGTCGTTACAAAAAAATACCGTCGTTATGCATGGTCCGATAGAAGGACCGCCGGCACCGGCTAGCGCACGCGGCAAAGTAAATACAAATGTTAAGTGTAGTAAAAAGAAAGCGATTTCTACACTAGAACTAGATCTACGGGGGCACAGTGTTAATGGAAATGGTGGCCACAGACGTCCTACAACAACATTTCGCATGTATTTTGATCGTGGGGATCTGCCCATCAAAATGGAATATTTGTGTGGAGGAGATAAAATTGGTTGGACGGTGAGTTTAAAAAAGTGTTGGCAAATAAGTTAAATTGATTTGTAAATTCGAGTAAAATTTGCTAAAACTATTATCGACTATAGTAGCATCGACGTAGGGGTTGAAGCTTAGAAAATCAGATATAAAAATTTGCTTTCTAAATTTAAGGACCACCCTAATGTACATACCGTACAGTACCCGTATTTATGGTCCGATTTGTTTCATATTTTAAATGGAAAGAAATAACTGCAGCCGTTAGGTGGTGCGGACTCGTTTTGTTTTATTAACCACTAATGAAAGCTTGTCTTTAAAAATATTGTTTTTAAATTACTTGCTTTTAAGTAACAAAAGTGGTGCCTGTCAAAAGGTGGCCCCTGTTAGAAGAAAATTTGTTCTATTTATACCCTCTTTTACTAAAGATATGTTTGCACGTATTTGGCATCAAAATTCCAGGCATTTTTATAATAGCCATTTTATTTTGAATTCAATTTCCGTTGCATTCAAAATACGCCACGTCACCATGACTGCCTCCTTTTTGATTGATGCATAATTTATTATAACACATGCATATAGGCAGACATGAAATAAATAAATAATAATAATAATTTAGAACGAAATTGTTGTCATATTTGCAGGAAAAAAAAAGTAAGAAAATAATATTATAATTTGCTGCAGATTTATTGCTCATATGGGCGTATGATATACAAAAAAATACACACATACATTGGATGCAAAAAAAAATACAATTTAATTCTTTTCGCAGTTGAAAAGGGTACACAGCGCTCGAACGCGAGTGTTGCGAGTAATTGAAATTGAATTGAATATTCTTCTCTCTGCGTTTCTTGCATTTCATGTTGCGTGCAAAGGCGTGCTTGGCATGCAGCACGAACGTAATCATTCAGTACAAAGTATTTTGAGTTCGTATCTTGTGACATTCTTATGTATGGCTATAGGCGATAACCATTTAGACAGATATATGTACATACTTAGTATATTACCGTTACCTTTTGTAGGTGGATATTGACAAACTCGACTACAGCCTCTACTTGCCACTCTTCTTCGATGGCCTTTCCGAGACTCAACACCCCTACAAAACGTATGCTCGTCAAGGTGTTTCCGATTTATTGGTTGCGGGTAGTGATAAAATTCATCCCGTGGTACCGCAATTAATATTGCCGCTAAAAAGTAAGTGTATTGAAAAATATCTACGTACATACATATATACAAATTAGTGATAAAAATATATATTTTTTTAGCGCCAAAAATAAGTCGCTTTTGATAAATATGTATAATACATTTCGGTTGTTTCTGGAAGAACCTAATGAGTCAAAAATTGATTTAGTTCACGTTTATTAGTCAGGTTTTACTTCTAGAACAAGTAATTAAAAAAATATAGTCGTTATATTTTATACAGAGGACAAAGCTATCACAAAGTCTTGATTTTATCAATAGGTTGTTTCGTTCAAAGAATCAAAATGAAAGCTTCTATGTAGTTGAAGCTTAGCATAGTGGAGAAGTGTAACATTACGAGAAAGACAATTTCCATCCTTATGAGGCACAGTCGGCAGATATTTTGCATTATTTACACAAAATAAAATAATAGTAATTTTTGCAGAATTTTTTATTATTTTTATTAGATCGTTCTTCCAGCAAACGGTCCATGTTTAATTACATAAGTAGTATGTTTAATATAGCAGTATTTATTTAATACAAGCTTTTATTTATTTTTCTTATTTTCTTATAACAGACGCACTCAGCACACGCAATTTGGAGGTTATGTGCACTACCCTGAAGATAATACAACAGCTTGTGATGTCTTCGGATATGGTTGGACCGGCTTTGGTGCCATTTTATCGACAATTATTGCCAATGTTTAATGCTTATAAGGTGAAAAATGGTGAGTGAAAGAACCGCTCAAGGCCAAAAGAAAAATACTAGACCGTCCCTATGAACGAAACAGTGTGGCATATTAGATCAAATGATCAGGTTATCTATGCAAAATAGAACATTACCATTTTGCTTTTTAGATCGACTAGTTAGTGGTCGTCTGTAAATTAATTAAAAAATTTACATCAGACAAAAAATCTGCCATTGAGATAATGGTTTGCTAAAAACAGTTAAAATGTAAAACAAAAAAAAATAAGTTGATGCGTATGGCTCAAATATTTTAAAGAAGTATTTTGTGGAAACTTTCACCATACACCATTTTTGATAAATTTCGCTGAAAAGCAGGATGTTGCATGGATATGTATGTATTTAGTTTAATGCATCGAATTTTCAATCATGAAAGCCAATTACATTTTATTTATTTTTTTTTTAACTCATCAAAACTAATACCGATGGACTTGTTTACGAAAAACTATGACATATGATTAAAAAAATATTTTTTAATCGCTTTCAAACGCATCATCGTCTATCAGTTTGCCCATTTTTAGCGTAGTAACAACAACAGGGCATCAGGCTAACTGTAAAGCAATTGCAGATAATGCATTCTGTTTACATAAATACATACATTAGTAGATGGGTGCGTATATAGTACATACTTATGTACATATGTACAAACGTACATACTAACATATATGTATGTCTAGAGACTAACCTTGTACCAATAATGCAGTAAACAAATGCGTCCGCTGTAACTAAGCAAATTGAAATATAAACAAATTAAAAATTAAAATACTCTGATAAGCGAGATGACTTACTGAACCATTGTTATCTGTAAATGCAGTTGTAGCTGATAAACTCCTTTCAAATAAGTGCCCCAAAATAAAAACTAATAAGTAGTCTTCTGTTGATGAAGAGTTATTTTAAAATAAATCATTATTATACTTATAAAGTTTTTAATATACTATGGGCAAACCGATGTTGTTGGACTATATTCGCGTCTATATATCGTCACTGAAATGCAAAAGGTCGTAACTTATAAAAAAATTAAAAATTCACTCTTACACATCGCGTTATAAAAAAAAAAAAATATTGGTCAGGACTTTTCCCATTTCAGTGGCGGTGTTGTTTCGTCATCTTGCATTTTGGGTGACGATATGTAATAATATTCTGAACGTTTTTAAGTTTAATAGTTGTTAAATTAGTACAAAATGAGCTTAAAATCGAGACCTTTGTGGCTTTGATGCTACGTTATATTCATATATTTAGTTACGTTTCATTACATCGTCAGCAGATAAGAGCAATATTTTTGGAATTACAAATATTGATTGAGAAGGAGGACTGAAGTTCTAATCCAACTTAGTAGATATATGTATATACGTATTTTATCGAAAGAATTTTTTTTTATTGCGGCGTATTCTTGTTTTCGAGCGAATCGAAAATTATGAAATTTTTTTTATCATTTTCTATACAAAAATTTCAAATTTTCGGTTCGTACGAAAACATGAATATGTCCCACTGTGTCGTTTGAAATTGTTGCCAGGTTCGAAAAAAGTTTAAAAAAGGACTTGAGTATCGCTCAACTTCATATACAAATCTATCAGCGTTCTGAATTTTGTAATTTATGAAATGTGTACTCGAACATTTAAAGTTGGCTGAAAAAAATATATACCTACACACATATGGATTGAATTCGATGGTCGCTGTGTTTGATTTTTCGTCTATATTTTTTATTACTACGAGTATAATGATAGTGGTACAACTTTGTTAGTTATACTGGTACAATCAATTTTAATTTTCTACATCGGCTGGTTAAGTTTTTAATAATTTTGGAATACCTTAGGTTAGTCGAAATCTGAAATTATTACAACATACACATCGTAATGCCCTAGCTCATTTTGTTTCGAAATTCAGATATCAGATATATTTAATTAAAAACAGTCATATAGTGTGGTGTTAGACAGCTCTATTCAATCTAATATCTTCCGGCTATGGATTCAATGGTATTTCTCAGAAGACATTAATACATATACAAATGCACAGTGTTTTTAAACCTTTTTAGTATCAAGCTGAAAAGTGTGATTGTGTGAGTGCGAATGACAATTGCTGCATTGGATCTTAAAAGTTAACCTTTAATATCAATTTGTAGTCATTATAAAAGTATAATGTACGTAAATTAAATTTTTCTCCTGTTTCCAGTCAATTGTGGTGACGAAATTGACTACGCCCAGCGCACTAATATGAATTTAGGCGATCTTATCGATGAAACACTGCAAGTACTGGAATTGCATGGCGGCGAAGATGCTTTCATCAACATCAAATATATGGTGCCTACGTACGAGTCATGTTATTTAAATTAATTTATGTTTGCTACTCATAAGTTTGTATTACAAAAGTATTAAAAAACATTAGATAATTTCAACTTTCGTGCAATAAAAAAACGTATTAACGAAGATACGATTTTCTTTTTTATTTAAAAATTTGATTCTTTTATTTTTTCCTCATAAATCCATTTGTATGTATGTACATTGGTATTCATAAAAGCTTTTTACTCATTCGAGTAATTATAAAAATTTATATTTCTACAATTTCTTTATTTCTCACGTAAGTCCCATTCCTTGCCGGAACGAAGAGCCATTGCTAAATCTTCAGCAATGGCATGGGATGCAACAGCAATGCTGAAAAAAAAGAGAAAACAAGTTTTATATAGAAAAAATATTAAAATATTTTGAAATTAGCTTTTATAAAAAAGGGCGGCCTTTATAATTTAGCCCAAAGTTTATTTAAGATTTGTTTCGCTTTCTAAAACGATCGTTTCATAAGTTTTGCTTCCTGTAATAAATCCCATTATAGGGTTACAGAGTAGTCAAAACTGTATTAACTTAATTTTTCCTGATCAATTAGTTGAACCAGAACTATCTTTTACTTGATAAGTAGCGATTTTAAGCGCTTAAAATACGCACGTTAAAATAAGAAATATGCAGGAATAATAAAACAAAAAATATCCTTTGAAAAAATAAATAGCTCAATTTTTCTTGTGTAAAAATCTATGGAATTTTGTTCAAAAATGCAGAAAAACTCCGGTAAAAGTAAAATATTACGCATTCAGTGCCTATTCACTTACATATGTATAGAAATAAAAACGAGAATTTAACTTAAATATTTTTGTTGCAATAAATAACAAAATATTCGGATAAATTTTCAGAAAGAAATTATTGCCTGTTACGCGGAATACATTCTTAAATATGGAAAAGGCTCGAACTTAAGGGCAGAAATTTCAGTCACTGTATATTTTTCAATCGGATGAATTGAATTACCGGATTTAAATTGACCTACAATATTTTTTATTACTACAAAGCTCTGTTTTTTGCTAAAAAACTGATTTTACCTTAAACATTTACTTTTTACTGATTTTACCTTAAACATTTACAGCGTTTACGTTTTCTTCAACTCTCTTAACAATTTCTATCAGGCAGGTTCTGTAATTCACTTCTGAGTTAATTTCAGCCAAAACCACTTCGAATTCATATTGCTAGGGGTTGAAATTACCTCGGAAGGGAATTGCAGAACCAGCCTCTATATGTGCCGATAAAATCAATGCTGTTGTTTCTAGTAGAAAAAAATTATATTCAACTAATAAGCACAAATCCACATTGTTTCGAAGTAGTTCAATATTTTAATGGTAGCGCCGCATAAGTGCTCGAAATGTTGTCCTTAGAAATTCCTCAAAAGTAGGGTTGCCAGACGTCCTCCTTTAGGAGAACGTGTCCTCCTTTTTGCCGAAAAACAAAATGTCGTCCTTTATGACTGAAATGTTCTCCTTTTTTGAATTTTGTATTTTTTGCATAATACTTCTACCGTGAATTTTTTTATTGTAAATTTTGGCAGTGTTTTCTTAACTTAATCAGCTGACCACAAGAGTATACATATGTACATATTTTTTATTCAAAACTTTTTTATCAAAATATATTGTTGCTCAGGCGTCGTCCTTTTCAATCTTACTTGGAGTAAATGTCCTCTGTTTTTGTTTCAATTGTCCTACCATCCATGCCTGTCCATCTGGTAACCCTACTCAAAAGCTGTTTACGCAGGTAACTATTGAAGGAAAAAATGGAGATTTTATCTCGATGCAACATCCAATGGATTCAAACGCAGCATTTATATGGAAAATATTTGTCTTTCCAGATTTCAATTCTTTCAGAACAGAAAGCCATGCACTTATTAGACGTCTTAGAAATAATATGATAACAAAAAACATGTCGAAACCGTCAGGTAAGTGTGATGCTTGCCATCAAATTTTTCGCTAGCCCTACGGGCTCGGCAATTTTTATTCACCTCATAGTTGTCAAAAATGTACCATCCAGAGTAGTTTTCTATCAATTGGCAGAGGCCCTATAATTTAAATTTGTTTTTTTTTGAATATGCACTATTTTTGCAATAAGAATTTAATTTTATGCTNCCAAAAATGTACCATCCAGAGTAGTTTTCTATCAATTGGCAGAGGCCCTATAATTTAAATTTGTTTTTTTTTTTTTGAATATGCACTATTTTTGCAATAAGAATTTAATTTTATGCTTTTTGTGATTAAGTATAAGAAAAAAAACATGCTCGAGCATATTTTTTTGTAGCCCTATTAATAAGAAACTGGTGAGCCACTGCTAAATTATAAATCATAAAAAGTTGAGCACTCATAGGCTTTGGCAAACTAATTTACAACTATTTTTTCGTTAAAAAACGCAGGGCAGTTCTAAAAACGCGATTGTACACCTATTTGAAATTAAGGTAATGGAATATATTCAAATATTTCTGAAAAATATGCCACCTATGGCCTTTTTTCCCATGATAATGGCGTTATACACTTACTGCTGTTGCATCATATAATCTTTCTTCGAAGATTCGTATTCGTTGCCTTTTATATTATGAGGAGAGTAACGATTGTAGAAACCCCAAATGGAATTCATCAACTTGTCATTATATTTTGCCGGTGTATATTCAGTCACTGTAAGCGAATGAAAAAAAGAAATATGTATATTAGATTCATTGTCCGCATCTAACAGTAGTTCATTTCCATCAAGTTTTAACTGCAATTTAAAACTCTCAGCAGTTAGTCGCTCATTTGAGGTACAAGCAAACGAAAGGAAAAAAGCAAAAATTAAGAACTAAGCTTTGCCGATCACATTTTGTTAAAATTATTGTAACTTATCTAAGTTTTTAACTGCAGTTAAACGTGTGGAAATGAGCTATTATACTCGTATTTGTTTGCATGAAAAACAGCTTTCAACTTACATTTCTTATTGGTGTTCATATTTTTGGGTTCACCTTTATCACTACCGCTCTTCATGCGTGCAACCAATAGATCTCGATCACGTAATTCTCGCAATTTGCATGCAGCAAATGCTCCTTGCGGCAAAGCGGCCATTTTTTTGCAGTCTGTAAGAGATAGGAAATAATTGAATGAGTGTAAAGAAAAATGAATATGAAAATGAAATGAATAGAGGTCATTCATTGACTGTCTGTATCAAGAATTTCCTTGAAAATAGGCTTTGGTGATTTGTATTTCGTATATGGCGATAACACCGAGGAGTCAGTATGTGTATGCATTTTTATAACGTGTTTCCACGCAGAGTTCGCTGTTAGCTTATATCGTTTTGTATCAACGACTGATAAATTTATACTTCTTCTGTTCATTAAAAAATAATTGTTTTTTCGTATAAATGCAGTATTTTTGAAAAACAGCTGTATCAATTTTTGTAATCATAAAAACGTATATTACTGCAAAAAAAACATAAGGCCCTATCGCGAATTTCACATGAAAAAATATTCCTAAAAAATTTTAAGAAAAACAAAAACATTTTTTCCCAATTTGATTTTGTTTTGCAAGTTAAATTATGGGAACAATTTATTCACATAAAATTGGCGATAGGGCTGATAGACACGAGCGTTACATATACGCCATGTAAAGTTTCACAACTATTACGACAAAAATCCTACGTATTATAATAAGGATAATTCAAGTAAAAATTTTTTCTAAAAATTCTGATTGAAAAGTTTGAAATTTTGAGGAAACTTTGTCGAATTTTCTTAATTTTTGTATATGTGATAATACATACTATGACTTTAAATTAATTTAAGGGCGTGCGTTATATATATTTTTTCGTTTTTCTTTTATTGAAATAAATAATAATTTTAAGTCTAATCCAAAATCTAGAATTTTGAAAATGAATATGCACTAGACCTAATGCAAAACAAACCAACAAACAAAGTTATGTTTTCGTATTCTCTAAGAAAAAACTAGAGAGAAACATGCAAGAAAGTACGCAAAGTTACAAGTTTTATGAACAGCTAATTGATTTGTTATTTTCCGAAACAATTTCCTAACAAAAATATTATTTCCGATGTTATCTTATTACATTAAACGAGCAATTCTTGTATATATATATACAGTGACGAGCAAAACTGTAACATGGTGTAACACTTTTTAATTCACCCACCGCTATGTTTCCAAGTTCTGACGACTTTCATCCTTTTGTTGTATATTCTTGTTGGTACATCCCTACTACCTATTATATTAGCAGCAAGTAGCGATGCAGCCACTATTACAGAAGCGCTTAAGGTATTAAACTTTAATGCAAATCAGTAGACAGCGAGGCGACGAATTGCCAAATTGGCGCAAAGGCATCATAAAAGAAGAAAAAAGCTAATTTGACCAAAATATATGTGCGAGAGTGGTAGCATTTTGCTGTGTCGCCCGAAAACCGGACCGTTGCCTATTGGGATATGTTAGGCCTTTCAGAATGCAATAAAAAACATATTTTTAAGTTCCAATTGAAGGTTATTTGGTCTGACAAGACTTAATTAATTGCTTTCAATCAGATGGCCGGGCATGGTATTGGATCAAAGACCCAAATTAAGCCTATGCGCAACATGTGAGGCAAACTGTGAATCACAGTGGTCGGTCAATAATAGTTTGGGGTTGAATTTAAACAATTTTGTGGGTCCGTTAGTACGCATTATGCGTAAGGAACAGTATCTGTTCATATTTCAACAAAATGTGCAAGATGTAGTCGAAAAATGAGAGTTTCTGCTGAAAAATCACCCAAAACATACTGCATATGTTCGAAAAGACTGGATACAAAATAAAAAATTTGCTAATTTGAAATGACCTCCACAATCCGCGGACATAAAATTCATCGAGAATTTGCGAAATCAACTAGAAGCACAGCTTATTAAGTATCCAAGTCCGTATAATCGAGTACATGACCTGTGAAAGCAAACAAGGATATATGGAGGATATA